TTTGCTTTGTATGATTTTGTTTTAAGTATGATCCATATTTTTATAATTAAAAAAATAAACGAACTTTAGCTTCCAAAATATTGCGAATATTAAAAAAATGAATGGTGTATGCAGACTTTTGCTGTAAAGTTTACATATCATACAAGTTATTTTATAGTTTTTCTTTTAATTTTCAAAATGAATTACTTATTTTTTCCTTTTATGTTTTAAATTATTTATTTTGTACCTTGTTTTGTACCTGACTGGAATATGTACCTTTAGTTTAAAAAATATATATTTTATGAAATAAATTGGAAATGTTTTTGTTATGAATATGACATAGTTGTTATGAAAATTAAATTTATTTACCTTAATTACACATTCGCCTTTTAAATTAACAGCATTTTCTTCCATATAACGAATGAAAAAAAAATCAATTTTTACATGGAAGAAAATGCTGAACACCCTCGAAAAAAAAATCTCAAATATGAACGGTATTTTGTAGCGACATCAAACTTGAATTTTACCCTACTGAAATTGAATGGGCTACAAAACTACATACTCGAAAATTTTCTAAGATTCTGAATAAAGAGTTTGAAATTTTGATGAACGTTTTTTTAAGTTTGATAAATTTCTGTGAACATTGTACAAAGTTAACAAGATTGATTCCTAAGGTTTTTTTTATAGAATGAGGTATATTTTGAATACAAATTTGCAAAAATAGTTCAATATTCAAAGTATTTTTAATATTGTGAAAAACGATAATACGAAAACTTCTGTGAGTGATTGTAAGTAAATTTAAAAGAAAAAACTTTAAGTATTAAGAAGACAAAACTAGTGCGAAGATAAACATGTAAATTTAAAATAAAATGGGTATTCATCTAAAAGCATAAATGCCTCGTAACTTGTAAATAAACTGGTTTACGATACAAAATTAATTAAGTTTACGTGGATACGAGGCGTTTATAATTTTAGATGAAATGCCCAAAAAACAAAAGTATTTAGGAGAAAAAATTACTAATTAATCGGTCTTGGACACGTTTTCCCATGGAAGATACCGAATTTGAATTATAGTCGGTACCGTCTGCATGTACACGTGTTTCTACTTCTAATATTATATTATTATCGACTTCATTTATTTGCTCGCGCAAACGGATATTATGCAAGGTTGAGCACGCATTTACAACCTTACCAGCAAAACCAGGATCGTAGAGTAACACTCGTTGTTGTGATAAACATCGCCAAGTTCCTTTAAGCACTCCAAATAGTCTCTCTACTGGATTTCGAGCTTTGCATAGCGCCTCGTTGTACCGAAACTTAGGAGTACCCTCAGGTTGGTTCGGTAAAGGCGTCATGAGCCATGGCTCTAAGGGGTATCCAGAATCGCCTGAAAGGAACTTAATTTTAAATTATGTACATTTTAAAGTAAATTAAAAAGAATACCAATCAAAAGCATGTTGCGGTTTCCATTGTCAAAAGCTCTCTGCATGACTCGCCGCACTGGACAGGAACTCCAAATGTAAGAGTCATGTCGTGCTCCCGGAAACCTAGCATTGACGTTGAGTACTTTTAAATTTGGGTCACATATCTATAAAAGCATAAAAAATAATTATCGCTCGACTTTTATTTAAAATACTTAGCTCACCATTTGAACATTTATCGAGTGATAGCCATGATGGTTCACGTATGCTTCCTCATGAGTTTTAGGACCCAAAATAGAAACATGCGTGCAGTCTACCGCTCCAATAGTTCCTCCAACGAAAGGCGCAGGTGCTGAAGCAAACACATCCTTGGCAGCTTGACGGTCCACCTGCGTCATAGGGAACTTAACCTCCTCAAAAAATAGTCCACTGTTTATGGCATCAGTTACGCGATGTATACAACGGCTTATAGATGATTGGCTCATTGATATGCCCCACTGTTCCCCTACAGGCCGTTGGTAGCATCCTGTGGCATAGAAGCGTAGTGTACACAAAACCTTCAAAGATAAAAGATTATTTGGGAAATGTTTAGTTATTTGTACAATGATTTTGTGGTGCGGAGCGGAGGGGGAGAGGGTGTGACACCTAAAACCATACCCGTTAGAAAGAGCAGTCAAAACTCCCCTCTCTGACCCCTCTACAGACTACAGGCCCATTTGAAAATGGGTTCACCCCATTAGTATTTCAACATGGAAGCCACATCGAAACTTACAAAAAAGTCCATAATTAAAACCGGTTTTATTAATAAACTAGTGCTTGGAAATTTGAAATCTTTGTTTTAAATTAAAGTTTAATCCTTGGAATACACGCGTATGTTAAACTTTTTAGATTCGAGTCACGCGTTTGGGCATCATTGTACAGATAACTAAACCGTACCCAGGAAATTATTGTATACATACTACATATCCAAAATTGCATGCTCTCATTATTTGAAGATTTACCTGTTTTTCCGCCGATATTGAGGTAATCCTTTTACCTTTCAATTGGATTTCCAGCCGCTGGATGAGCTCCATTGCAGTCTCTGGGCCCACACGATATAGCTTCCGGAACTCGGAAGGCGCCAGCTCAAATGGATCGTGAATGTCGCGGAGCAAACGCCGATCCACTGTGGGGGTATTTCTGACTCCATAGTTTCGGTGTAAACTATACGCCACATATTCGAACGCCATTTCTTTTATTTAAATTCACTTTGATTTACTTGCGCGCAAATTCGTTTGGTTAACACAAACTTAACAACACCAAATGAGATGTCGATAACTTAACCATAAACGAATCGTTAACGAAACAGCTGATTTTCACTTATCGAATATCGATAAGAAAGTACTTATTGAATAGCAAAATCTTTAAAATTATCGTTTAGCTAAATTAGCCACTGCGAATGTCGTTAAAAAGGTTACCGAATCGCACTACAGAAGGGCATTTGAGTTCAGAGAGTACTGCTCTGCAATTTTTCTCGATGTAGCACAAGCATTCGACAAAGTGTGGCACGCGGTCTTATATATAAAATTAAAAAATAGTTTTTTGTATAAGTGTAAAGTTCTGAACACATTGAAAACAACGAGCTACAGACCACAGCTTCCAATTTGTCATCTTCATTATCTAAACGCTTTGTCGATGGCGACATGATTTCTTTAAACGCGGAAGCGACATCAAGAATTTGTATGAGCTTGACATAAAAGAAGAGGAAGAACCTTATCTGTCGCCAGAAAAATAGAAATAGATCTAATCTGGCCACAACCACAGCCGTCGCGTAGCCCGGTCGTCGCCAAAATAATTATCTACATAAGAGTACGTGTTAAAATAATTTGACAGCTGTGGTTTGTAGCTCGTCGTTTCCATTGTGTTCGGGCTATAAGCTGAAAACTCCTGTTCACAACAATACGTTGGGACAAAAGGCAGCAAAGTTAAGATAGCAATTTTAACTATCTCAAGGTATTTCCTCCTAACACTAACCCAAAACTCGTTTACACAGGTAATCCAGAAATTTCATTTCAATCTTTTTAAGGATGATAATTTGTCTCTCGCCGTAAATACAGTTATTGACATTCCGAGCTAAAATGTAGTAATTTCATTGTTCTTTCTAAAAATTATGGCAAGATAAGCTAATTTAATAAGCTGGATAATAATAATAATTTGGCGCTTACACTTTTGTTCAGTGTTTGGCCGAGGTTTTCCTCCAATTAGTGGTTTGCGCCTTGATATTGTTACACGGGGCACACAATGTTAGGAATAAGCGCTTAGGCTTTTTAAGCGAAATATTGAAAATTTTTGAAATCGGATAAAAACCACGGACTCCACCAACGTAACGGTAATTTCAAAAAACGCAAAGCTAGATATATTTTAGGGGGAGTAGGTTTTGTCCGATTTCAAAAATATTCAAGACGTACTTAAGCACAATGCGTATACCGAATTTGGTCGAGATCAGTGAAGTAGTTTTTGAGATACGCATATATCATGGTGGAATATTAACCAGGTGTTGTCAGTAGCGACGTGTTTGTTGTAATTTTGACAAGATCAGCATGCCTATTTTCAGTGCTGCCGATCTTAATTTTTTATACTACTGTTCGTTGGGAAATAGTATCTAAAATATTCCATTTTAGTAATTCGTTTTATCGCAAGTTTTAAAGAACTTGGCGTTTTCAGAACGATATTAATATTTAAAATTGATAGATTTGTATAAATTTTGTCCTCAAAATGTAAAAAAATAAATGATATCGTGGTTATCAATGGAAAAATACGTACACAAAAATTGTATGGACAGGCGATTCTTTATATTAAATAACTTTTGCTGCATTGTCATAATATTTGGCCAAATGGAGTACTGATACACTAAAATAGAGTGGCTGTATGGTTAAATTAGAAATTCGCTTATATTATCGATATTTATGTGTTTAAAAATCATTTACAGTCTTACAGGAAATTGGCTTATTTTACGGTCTTTACTTTTTTATAGTTAGAATATATGTCCAAGCTGTGTGGAGCTGCCGATACAACATATATTCAGGCTTATAAGCCTGCAATTATACATTTTTCTACATTTATTTTGAAATAGTATGCACCAACGGATTAATAGCAGTAAATAATTAGTACCTTTTCTACTACTTTAAAATACGTGACCGGAATAGACCTGTCGCAAAAGTGAGGTTAAGTTACTGACAACACCTTGTTATTATTCCACCATGCTCATATATGATATAGGTGGGCGGTGCCCATGATTCAATAACTAAAGGTTTGCTCATTAGTGACATTAGAGTTTTGACACTCCCTTAACTCCCTTACAAAAGGTTGCACACACACACGCACGAACACACTAAGAAGCCGATTTTGTCAGGACGGAGCGAGAAAACTGTTTTCTGAGCATACCTTTTATTATTGAATAATGGGCGGTGCCACACCCATTTTCCTGAAATTTCTTGAGACACCATTTCTTTGCTAAAGAGCGATTGTATATATCACTTTTGAATAAATTTTGATGAATTCTTTACACACACTGCTCAAAAACTCTGGTATACAGGGTGTCCCAGAAGTAACGTGCCAAGCTTTAGGGGAAGGTAGGTGGGGGGTGAGGTCCCTGATAAACAAAAAAATTTCAGGTAAAAGTGTCACCGTTTTTGAAATATTCACATTTTTTCGAATTAAAAAAAAATCGTGCCTTTTCATGTGTTTTCTTTAACTGCAACTACAAACCGGGCAATACTTAGTAAATTTTTTGTGTAAAATACTTCCAGATAGTTGCCTCTCCATACTCAAATGCAATGTAGTTAAAATATATTAAGGAACCATCATAAAATTAGGACTATTTCTGGATTTTTAACTTTTTGATATTTTCTTCCCCAACTTTGACTATCTCGGGTGAAAAAAAA